AGTACTTGGTGTATTTTAAATGCTAAGTGTGACATCATTATGATGAATGTCTTATGGCCACGTGTCTGTGGTATTGTGACATATCATATGACCACAAGATAATGTTCAGAGTCACCTGTGTGCATCAGATCTTGTGAGGTTTAAAAAAATAATAGTGGTCAGGCGATTGGTTTAGTCATTTATTAACACATTAGGGTTAATAGATTCGGCATTTGTATTTTAGGAACTCTAACATCTCTTTGTCTGTTTCAATGTAGAAAAACATTCAGCGTTGTAGAGGTCCATTGTAAAATTATAATCATGTTACTACATGTTACTTAGTTCTCACAGTTTTTACTTTGTGCACTTAAATCCATCCTTTTTTCTTTTATTGGTTACATGCAGAACAAAATTGATTTGTTTTACTAAAACATATTTATGCTGTTTGCTTATGTTTATTCGTCCGCTTATGCCAAAACTTGACTCAGCAACAGGCCATGGATTAATGTATTAAAGATATTTATTTATGACTTGATTGCTTTTTTTATTGCTTATAAATTATTTTTACTGCTTGTGTGTGCATGTGTACATATGTATTACATGTATGCACATATATATGTTTATGTATAAAAAAGGTTTATAGTCCATTAGTATTTTCACCAACAAAAAAATGGTTTTAAGTCAGTTATTTCTATCTTTTGCTGTAGTGTGTCAGTAGGAAATATCAGTTTCCATTTCTACACGTTTCTTTTGCCATTATTTATAATAATACAGTGAGAATTTTGTTTGCACAAGGAGTCTGACAACAGCCAGTGCTCCACACAGAGTTCTGATCTCACCATCATCCAGTCCATCGGGGATTACATGAAGAAACAGAAAAACGGAGGCAGACTAAATTCAGAAGAACTGTGGCAACGTCTCCAAGACACTTGAAGAAACCTTCCTGCAAAGTTTTAGGCACTTGTGTAAACATGCTGTAAAGTGAGGATGCTTTCAAAAATAATTTCATGAATATATTTTATTTATCAGTTAACTTCTATTAACTAAATCAAATCGACATTTGGTGTGACCGACAGCTTTTGTCCTAGATGCACTAGTGCATAGTTTTTCAGGTATTTGCATGGTTTCTTCACGTGTCTTGGAGACGTTGCCACAGTTCCTCTAGGAAATACCAGTTTATATTTCCAAACAGTCATTTTGCCATGTCTCCAAGATGCTTCAAGAGACCTACATGCAAAGCAACCTGAAAAACTGTGTGCAAGTGCACCTAGAGCAAAAGCTGCTTTAAATGCAAAGGATGGTCACACCAAGTGTTTTCACATATTTTACAGCATTTTTACACAAGTGCCTAAAACTTTTAACAGTACTGTGCAGGTAGGTTTCTTGAAGCATCTTGGAGACGTTGCCACAGTTCCTCTGGATTTAGTCTGTCTCAGTTTTGTATGTTTCTTCATGTCATTCCAGACAGACTTGATGATGGTGAGATCAGATCTCTGTGTGCAGCACTGGCATTCTAAATACATGGACATTAATATGGAGTTTGGTGCAAATTTTCACCCATTCATCCAGTAGAGCATTTGTGAGGTCAGGCACTGATGATGGGTGAGAAGGCCTGGCTAGCAATCTCCATTCCAGTTCATCCTAAAGGTGTTTGATGGGGTTGAGGTTAGGGCTCTGCGGGCCAATCAGGATTTGCACTTCATAAGCAGCTGACTCATTAATTTACCTGCAGTTCCAATGAATTACCAGATCATTCATATTAGACCCATTCAGTACTTGGTGTATTTTAAATGCTAAGTGTGACATCATTATGATGAATGTCTTATGGCCACGTGTCTGTGGTATTGTGACATATCATATGACCACAAGATAATGTTCAGAGTCACCTGTGTGCATCAGATCTTGTGAGGTTTAAAAAAATAATAGTGGTCAGGCGATTGGTTTAGTCATTTATTAACACATTAGGGTTAATAGATTCGGCATTTGTATTTTAGGAACTCTAACATCTCTTTGTCTGTTTCAATGTAGAAAAACATTCAGCGTTGTAGAGGTCCATTGTAAAATTATAATCATGTTACTACATGTTACTTAGTTCTCACAGTTTTTACTTTGTGCACTTAAATCCATCCTTTTTTCTTTTATTGGTTACATGCAGAACAAAATTGATTTGTTTTACTAAAACATATTTATGCTGTTTGCTTATGTTTATTCGTCCGCTTATGCCAAAACTTGACTCAGCAACAGGCCATGGATTAATGTATTAAAGATATTTATTTATGACTTGATTGCTTTTTTTATTGCTTATAAATTATTTTTACTGCTTGTGTGTGCATGTGTACATATGTATTACATGTATGCACATATATATGTTTATGTATAAAAAAGGTTTATAGTCCATTAGTATTTTCACCAACAAAAAAATGGTTTTAAGTCAGTTATTTCTATCTTTTGCTGTAGTGTGTCAGTAGGAAATATCAGTTTCCATTTCTACACGTTTCTTTTGCCATTATTTATAATAATACAGTGAGAATTTTGTTTGCACAAGGAGTCTGACAACAGCCAGTGCTCCACACAGAGTTCTGATCTCACCATCATCCAGTCCATCGGGGATTACATGAAGAAACAGAAAAACGGAGGCAGACTAAATCCAGAAGAACTGTGGCAACGTCTCCAAGACACTTGAAGAAGCACTGGCTGTCGTCGTCAGACTCCTAAACATACAAAAATCTAACTGGATTATTACAATTAATGGCAAAAGAAATGTTTGGAAATGCAAACTGATATCTCCTACTGACACACAGCAAAAGATAGAAATAAATAACTGACTTAAAATCATTTTTTGTTGGTGATAATACTAATGGCATAAGACTTTTGCACAGTGCTGTATATATATATATATGTGTGTGTGTGTGTGTGTGTAGGGCTATACGTTGGTATCTTTTCCTTTCCTCCTTTAAAAGAGGGCATGTGCTGTCTATTAAAAGCATTTCATCGTAACAACATCCCCTTTCACTGGATAGCGTGGGTGTGAGATGGACAATTAAAACCGAAAGCAGCCACTGCTGGATGCAAACGATCAATGGAAGAAACCATTTCACTTTTACTTCAAAACTAAAGCATCATTCTGATCGTTTTCAATGGGATTCAGAGTTCATTTCAGTCGTTTGACTCGTTGGTAGCTGCGCGCAAGAGAGTCGCTCTTTCTTTCAGGCTGCACGAGCCGTTTACGGTTTCCTTCATTCACACAATGTCCGATCCGCCGGTAACTTTACCCGTGTGCAGGCGACTGACGTACGCCGTGGGACATTTCTTCAACGACCTCTGCGCGTCTATGTGGTTCACGTATTTACTGGTGTATTATCACTCGGTTCTGGGTTTCAATGACAAGAACGCAGGTGCGCTGCTGCTGGTCGGGCAGATCGCGGACGGGATCTGCACTCCGCTCGTCGGTTACGAATCCGATCGGACGTCAGGATGTGGAAAGTATGGGAAAAGAAAGACTTGGCATTTAGTGGGTAAGAGTGTGAATTCAAACTTGTACCTGTGTTTGTAACGTAAATAAATGAGCTGTATCAAGCGGTGTGTGGAAGAGCGCGCGTTCTTTGATTTGTTTTTCTATGTCTCATATAGTTTCCGTGGAGCTTTACAATAATCTGCAGGAGATGTATTCCGCCTAAACCCCCTTAAAATCCCTGCAAACTACCGCTAAAGACATGAAGTAAGTGCAGCCGTGGATTCCGTCAGACGGAAGATTCATATTCAAAGCAAACGGGGAAATCAGACGGACGCTCGTCAGCTGTAGTCAGGGAACTGTCAGATGCACTTTCCTCGAATAGGGTACAAAATAAAGCATTGAAACTTAAAAACGGAAGTGTTTCAACCAACAAGTAGTCAGTGAATTGATCGTGAAGTTCAGGAATTCAAACTAAATTTTCTTTTGTTTTGTGTGTGTACGTGGTATGCCATTTTTTATGTTGTGTGTTTGGCGTTTTAGCCTACATCCATAGGCAAATATTGTAAGCTGACAAAACTGTAAAAAAAATGTAAGAATAGGGAACAGCAAATTTAGCCTTAAGCTGTCATTTAGTAGCACCTCACTAGTTTGGGACCAAGGGTTGAGTTATAGTTATACTTTACCACTTGAAATATTTATTAAATGTGTATTCTTTAAAATATTTACCATAAATTAAAGAAAAACATTTGTTTTCTATCTTTGTTTTTCTCACAATAACTTGGTTGACAAGCATTACAAATGCAGCCAACACTACAAATGGTCAATCTTTGCTAAATGAATTGCGTCATGCTGTAGAAAAGGTCCAGATGATGTCCCCTCCTGACTGTCATGATTTCACAGCACTAACTGTTCAGTTTACTGTCCATTTCCTCCCAGGAACAATAAGCGTATTTGCCTCCTTTCCCTTCATATTCAACCCCTGCATTGGATGTGATGAGAACACCCCGCAGACCACAGGACTGATTTACATCATCCCATTCATCATCATCTTCCAATTTGGCTGGGCTGCTACCCAGATATCCCACCTGTCGCTCATTCCTGAGCTGGTCACATGCGAGCACGCCAAAGTGGAACTAACATCATACAGGTATCACTACCTTCTCAAGTGAAAAAAAACAATGTAGACCAATAATGTAGACGTGTTGCCAAACTTAAAGGTCTTATTCAGTGACAGGAAAAAACAAAACAGTTTCCTCGTTTTAAAAGTCAGAATTAAATGAAAAATCACCATAGCTATTTTTTTAAATGAATGTTATTGATCTTATTTTAACCATTCATCCATGCATGTTTAATTTTTTATAATTTTTTTGACCTGGTAATATTTTAAATCAAAATGCCATAACTCAATCTTCTGTTAAAAACTATAGTTTCTCTCTGGTGATGTGTGCCAGACTTCTCCAATCATTTAGTCTGCTTAAATCCTGCTCCCTTCTTACAATCGACTGCATTCAAATCTGCCTCCATCCAATCAACAATCGATGGATAGAACCACCTCCCTACCTACATTTTTCTTTATGTATGTCAGTATGTCAGAATACGGAAGAACAGCCACTAACTTACGTTTCATTGTGACTTTAAACTAAACTCTGACTTTCGTGGAAGTCAATTTGTGGCCTTATTTAACTTTGTTATTGATGAACAAAAAGTTTGTTTGCTTTCCTGAACAGGTATGCTTTCACAGTGGTGGCAAACATTGCGGTATATGCTGTGGCTTGGCAGGTGATCTCATGGAGATCTCTCAGTTTTACCATGTACAACACACACAGACATACAAAAAGCTTTATTATGTACACTACAAAAAAGTAAAAGTCCATCTAATAATGTAATATTTCACAGTATCTGTTGCTATGTTTGTTTTCCTCCTCCAGGTTGCCATACTATATATGTGCACAAGACTGATCGTAAATTTGTCCCAAACATACATCCCGATGTATCTGATAAACTCCTTATCACTTCCAAAGGTGAGGAACATGACACTTAACAGTACAAACTCATAAAAAGTTTTTTGGGTGGAACATCAAAACCCAGTAACCATAAGAATGTTACATGGGGGAAAAAAATCATAATCATCATTTACTTTAAAACTATTAGAAATGATTTTTTTTAATTAACCCTAAAAAAAACGTATAGATTAGAAATGTTGCCTTGACAGTTACATAAAAAAATAAAATAAGTTTGAGTTGCAAAAAAAATTAAGCTAAATGGAAATATATGGTATATACCGCAAAAATGACAAAAGCACATAACGAAATGATAAAAATGTAAACTAAAATGAAAACTAAATATCTAAATAAAAAAATGTCAAAATATGAATAAACACTATAACGGTATATAAATAAAACTAAAATAACACTGTGTGGAACACAAAAGAAGACGTTTTTGTTTTTGTCCATGCAACGAAAGGCAAAGGGATCCAACGGAAATTGGAGTCTGGACCATGGCCTGTACTTGGATGGAGGCAGAGTGGTGTGAATGATAAAAGATTACGTTGTGAGGGTAGCAGAGGTAGGGGACAGCCACCCAAGTGTACTGGGGTAGCTGTATTGAGGGGATTCAGAGAGGTCAAGCAAATCACACACAAGCTGCCAAATCCTTTACTCATTAAAAGTGTGGTAAGAGTCGTTTAGTTTTCCAACAGCATTTCATTGAAACTATGTGATGACGAATATAAAGATTTTGACTTTCACATTTGCATCTTATAGAAAAATTACCTTTTGCTACAGTTATTGTTAAGTCAGTATAGCTGAAATTTGGATTTCATGTTATTTTGTGTATACTGTTTTATGACTAGTTATGGCAACAATAATTGTATCTATATGGCATGTTGGTAGAAACTGTAGTTACCATAGTAAATGTCTTAGTCCATTTTAACTTAACATTCCACGTCTTGCACATCGTGATTTTCATCTTATACAAATAAATACATAAAAAAGGAAAATATAGTAACTATAGTTTCCACAAAAATACAATTTAGATGGGACAGAGTTATTTGGCACACTTCTTTGCTGAATATCTTTGGTGGAACAAATGTGACCCTGGACCACAAAACCAGTCTTATGTCGCTGGAGTATATTTGTAGCAATAGCCAAAAATACATTGAATGGGTCAAAATGATAGATTTTTCTTTTATGCAAAAAAATCAGGATATTAAGTAAAGATCGTGTTCCATGAAGATATTTAGTAAATTTCCTACCGTAAATATATCAAAACTTAATTTTTGATTAGTAATAGCCTATGCATTGCTAAGGACTTCATTTGGATAACTTTAAAGGCGATTTTCTCAATATTTAGATTTTTTTAGCCTATTCAAATATTTGTATCTCGACCAAATATTGTCCTATCCTAACAAACCAATAGGGTATATCAATGGAAAGCTTATTTATTCAGCTTTCAGATGATGTATTTTGAAAAATTGACACTTAAGACTGGTTTTGTGGTGCAGGGTCACAAACGTTATGAATTTGGCTGAGATTTGATGGTTATATGGTAATGTTTGAAAGCGAGTCTTTTAAAACGAGAACGTCTTCCACGTTGTGCTTTTCGCGGATTTGGATGGAGGGATGAAGAGAGGATGTCATTGGCTATCATATTCTTCTTTCAAGCTGGACTTCACCCAAACACTGTCCTCTAGCGCTTTTCAAATTACAACTAGCATGTCATACTCGCGTATAAACAGAAACTTGACATTTAGCACTCCCGTGGCACAACACCATGCTGACCATTCCGAACTCTATTTAAACATCGGCTTGTTTTATTTTGTTCGTCGTTCCTTGTTTTCATATCGATATTCTGGTAAATGTATGATTTATGTTCTTCCCATGGCTGAAAATGATATGTAACCAAACCTATTTAATTCCTCCCAGGAAGCTTGAGAAGCGACATTTCGCCCTGCGTGAAATGCCAAGTTCAGCGTCCCTATATGGACTCACAAATGCTCTTCATTGTGAAATAAAATTGTAATAAACCTCAGTAATAACTATGTACAGAGACAAAACGCAAGTACTGTCATAATCCTTGTATGATCTATATATTAAATAACAAATCACCTTCTGTAGAGGTGGAACCTCTGGATTATTCTGATAGACCTTTGAAAACTGGTGACTCTGGTAAGAGAGTAAAGGGGTCAGAGAGTTACATCCAAAAAAGCTTTAATGAGTTGGGTTTATACAGACCACTTTAGTGGGCATAAAGGTATACAGGCAAAAGTATTTGGGATGGGTATGTGTGTGTGTGTGTGTGGTCTGGAATAGAGGAAAATTGTGTAAATTAGATATAAAATATTACAGCATTTCTATTAACTTCGTACAGATGTTAAACATTTACATTCTAAACATAAACAGATAAATAATCATCAATGGTCTGAAATCCTCTTACAAATTCACTCTTACAAATTATGCTAGTGTAGCATCTCAAACTATCTTAAAATGGCAAACAGATCAAGAGTTATATTAAATAACAATGCACTATTGCACGTGAAACTAGCATGTTAGCTTCCTAACGTAGATAAACAAATAACATAATACTGTGCAAATATGCGCTTACAAGATTAACAACATCATCACAATAACATCAACATTATTGACCTGCAAGTTTCTGCTAGAGAATGCAAAATAAACTTACTTTTCTGCATGAACGCACACAACTTTAAAGTTCGGATGCTCACTCTAACCCAGCGCTTGTGGTGTATAAAACGCAGTGTCTTAAAGGGAAGGTGTATAGGTATCAGTAAGATGAAA